TGTATGGCACGCGCAGAGAGGTTATATCTTAAATAATTCCTATTGTACGTGCTTCTGGCTTTGGTAGAATAATGAGAAGAGTATCTCCTAGTCGTGTACCCCGACTAGAGGGAAAAAGAATCAGAAAGTTGTTTACGACAGAGCACATTCCCACATTCCGTGTTAGGTTTTAAATTATATTAAAAACAAATGCATTAAGCTTATTAAGTTAAAAGAGATAAATGACGGCCGAGCAACGCCGGTTAAATCATGCTATTGTATATACATATATAGCTGTTGTCTGGTGCGCCATTCGAGTGTAAACACATTTCTTGTAAGCAATGAAACGATTCGGGCGACTCGAGTCATCGTCGTGGATTCGAACACAATTAGAAGCAGTCGCATTCGAAATCAAATAGAAATCATTAATTTTAAAGTCTCAAGTCTCAGCTAAAGACAAGGGAAGCGAGGAATGGATGAACGCTTTTGATGCTCGGCTTATATTTATTAAAGCATTTCAATTGCTACATTTATTAAATTTTCCATTGGTTTGTGTTAGAGGTATATTTTTGAGATCCGATTTTTAAATATGTATGCAAATCCCCTAGATAATTTAATATGCCGCAAGCGTAGCAACAACAAATGTGATAACATAATCCAAAGAGCGAGCCTCAATTAAAACACGCTCAACAAGTTGGCCGGCGGTCGAATAACTGAATTTGCAACTAATCCTGGCCTAAGCCTAATTACATTTTGTGTGCTCATCCTGGCCCCTTTTTTAGTTGCATGTCCTGTCTCTGATAAAATCGTCCAAATAAATATTCAGCCAGGCGTGAAGGAGGTGTGGGTGCATCAATAAATGCATGTGCTGGGGCATTTATTTGTTTAAATGACAAATAAAATGCAGAAATCATTTTTATAAACATTTTGTCGCTCCTGCCATGTTGTTTTGTTGCTTCATTGTTGTTAGCCTTGTCTGGTTGCCCTTGGCAAATACGCGGCGTATGCGCAATTTATTTACAAGCATTTATGTTTGCCTGCCTGGTTTTTATGGCTGGTTAGGATTGGCAGCAGTTGCTTAAACATTTATGCAACGTGTGGATTTTGTTTACATTGCCTGCCGTTTGCCCATCCAATTGATGAGTGCAGAGGCAGGAACGAGTCCGGAACGAGTCTCCCTCTTGGCTCTCCCAAGTGCCGGCAGTCAAAACAGGGATACATGTTTAATGATGCACAAATATTTACATTGCAGCACGATGGTATTTTCACATATCAAAAACATGAAAAGCATGAAATCAAAGTAAATACTTTTATGAGCTTAGAAAACGTTCGTCATCAATTAATTTGTAGTAATACCAACATTTATTTAAAAGCAAAACGCTTGCGAGTAAAACGTAGATGCGTAGATCGCATATATTTTGAGAGTATATTTTGACTGCTGCGTACTTATTCTGTGTTTTTCAAATGGGCGGAAGAGCTATATAAGTAGTACATATTTTTCCTAATTATTTGGGTCACAATGAACTTTGAGAATTATCTTACATTTAGTAAGTAGAAAGTGGGATTTTTCTAGAAAATATATAACATTAAAATGCGTTGTGAACATGTGCGTGAACGTCTTTAGTATTTAGATACTATATTAGTTATATGAATCGTACGATTTGCGGTTAGATATGTTTTAAATATGATCTCTCGAATACCATACCCAGAACAGGCTCATTTCACCAAGTAACATGAAAGTTGATTGATAAGTCGTTATCTTGAATGAAATTCGCAGTGAGGCATTCTAGATTATATCACTTTCACTGACGGATATTTTCATAGTATCTTATCAGAGTACATTATCTTAACAGCAGTATTTTGATATCTCCCAAAATTCGAATTAAAAAGAATAGCAATAATTGCAGAAAAATTGGAGCAAGGTGAAACACTAAATATCAAATTGTCTTAAGCTTAAGAATCACCTACAGACTAATGCTGAGAAAACCGTAATTCTTTGCCTCGATAAATTTTAATACTTGCTTTTATGAATGAATTAAGTAGATCTCAAAACTATTGAGCTGTCTATGTCTGACCACAGCAAAGGGGTTAATTGACTTAATTATCATTGAACCTACAGACTTGATACAGAGTATTTCCTAGTAAGGTACTTGGCACCCAGCTTGACTTCTTATTTTTTGCCTCTCAATGCAAAAAAGCCTCATGTTATCAGAGGGAAAGAGCTGTCTGCATAACTTAAATCGCATTCACAAGTGCTCTCTAAACTGCAGCCACCTTAAGAGCTGCCGTTGACGTTGAGTCGACCCACTTCTGCGGCAATTTCTTCACGGCAGCCGCAAATGGCAATGTTTATTAGCCATAATGATGCTGCGGCCCTGTCAACAAAAGGCAACAAACATGGCCAAAGAAAATATGTTGCTCGCTGTCTGCCACTGGATGCTGTCTGCCTCCTATCACCCGCCCGACCGCTCGCTCGTTATGTCCGAGTAACCAAATCCGGCAGGCAACTTTGAATAAACTACAAGTTTTGTGTGGCACACGGGGCAAAGAGCAGGCGAAATGAAAAAGAAGGTAGGCAAGCTGGAGGAGCAAGGATCAGACAGACCCATGTATTGCATCCAGTTTACACCCTGGCCCCGTGCACTCCCTGATGTCGCGTCGCCAATTTTACTTGGCTATTTATAACTGTCGCGCCTGCAGACTCCCCTCTCCTGCCACTAACTGCTGCACGTTGCGGCTCGTAAACATCTTCATTCAGTTGTCGTTGTATGTGGTAGGTGCACAACGTCAACAGCTGGCTAGGCAAAGTCCTGCGTCCTGCTTCCTGAGTCGTGTGTCCTGTGTCCAGCTGCACCTTGTCAGCCTGGCGCCCACCAATCACTCGACGCTCTCACAAATTGTGGTAATTTCTTGTTGTCGCCATCAGGCAGCAGCAAACAGTCGCTGAATTATAACCAAAGTGGCTAATTTGTCACACAGAGCGCCTAGAGAAACCCAGAGAGACAGGAGGCAGACAGTAAGAAAGAGAGCGAGAGATGCTGAAAGGGCGTATTGTAAGTCAGACAATGCCTTTAGGGTATGTCTGCATAATTCGATCATCCGTTCAATTGCTTATGATGATATGCCTTAGCTCAAGTCCACAATATTCCGACCAAGATGATTTCCTCGATATCCTGTGCAAATATTTTTTAACCCAACAGCAACACAAAGGACACACAGCGTTCAACATTTCAGCATCTTCCAGCATCGATTTGGCTCTTTATTGATGTTTTATGGACCAAATACTGCTGGCGAGCATGCAAAATTTGTGCTCCCTGCACAATGGACAATTGTTGGCTGCTCCAAGCTGGGGCCGTGGCCTGCTCCAAGAAAATATCCAGCAAAGAAAATACTTATATTGAATGGACGACCGAGGCCAAAAGTTGTTGCTCATCTTTGGCCCTGTCTCCGGCTCAGGCTCTGACTGTGTTTTGCTTTTACTGTCTGTATGCAAATGCCTCTTTGGCAATTGGATTTGGTATTCGGATAAACATTTCAATTGGCCGCACGCTTCATTACCCTTCTCCACCCGCTGTGGAATGCAGCCCACCCACAGTATTCAGTTTTCGTTGTTGGCCAACTTTTTCAATCTGGCTGCTGGCTCTCAACTGGCAACTGGGCAAAATCAGAACGAAACGAAACGCAACGCTATGAAAACTATTGAAAATTAATTTCGAAACAAATTTACAAAATGCAACCTGCAATTGTTGCTTTCTGTAGTTGGAATACTTTTGCCCCTACTCTTTCTGGCTAACATTGCTGTTGGCCTGTAATGTAATTTCATCCCAGACCTGACATCAGTTACTAAATTATGCAAATTAAAATATGTACACATAATTACAAATGTAAATCGCATTAATTTTACAACTCGGATAACTTTCCCAAAGTCGATATATGTGAATTTGCGGTTAAAATATCACGGTATACTTTTTTACCACTTATTTTTGTGTACAGTTCGATTATTTTTTTTCACTAATTTTACAGTATTTAGTGAGGCCTATGTGAACTCATGAAACATGCTGTAAATGCCAATGATTGGTTATATTATTTAGTTACTTTAGGAACTGCAATGTCAAATGGTAACTTATTTATATGTGAACAGCTTATAGTTGGCAATACATGCAAATTTTTCTATAACATTGGTTGCTTGATGAGCATTTTTTTCTTTCTTAATCTATATCTATATCTATATCAATTTTCATCAGTCGTTGGAAAAGTATTTACTAGTCTGCTTTAATTACAGTCATTGTAATGTAAACGCAAGTGACCACAAATTATTTTTATATCCGAGTTAATTGAGGTCCACAGCGCGGTTTTCATTTGATTAAGTTTAATAATTACAACTGCGACCAATTCGCAAATATTTACAAAGCTCTAACTAGTGTCAGCTTTAAACACAATTTAAAGTTAAACAAACAAATAAAACTATTTAAAAAAAACTATAAGATCTTACTTCTATACTGTTACTCAGATTGGTTAAATAAAAACTTAAACGTTTGAAGAGAAATTAATTGGATCAATGGATCCATTGGCACCTATGATTGTGGTCCGCTTCCATGCCTTAACTAAGAAGTTTACAAAAAAGTGACAGATGGATAGAAGAACTCAGCTCGTCGAGAACGAGCTTAGCAGATTTGACCTTAAGTATTCCCACTTGTTGGCTACGAAAAATTAAATAGAGTAGAGAATTATTTTAGAATCAAGTAGACTGTCAAGGACTGACTCTAATTGGCAATCAAGGCAGAAACCAAACCTTGTGTTTCCATGTAAAATATTATTTGGTACGTGGAGAGCAGAAAAGAAACCTTTCCCATTTGCTACTCCTGATCGATCGTTCGATCTTAATGAAGGTTATCAGTTTTTGCGAGTTTCCTCTGGTCAACAAAAGTGCAAACATTGTATAAGCCGAATACACTATACTTTGGCTTTGTGAGCAATATAGAAACTACGTTTACAATGAAAGTTCAATTCGAATTGAAAGTAAAGGCGAAAGTTTATGTTAAACTGAAGATTTTTAACATAGTATCATATTCCTTATATGTACCGTCTATTTGATTAAATACCGAATGGGATATACGCGAATGTTGTCAATGAAGAGTATCAGTCTATTTGGTGGTCATCATCGCGGTGAACTCCTCGAAGCTCAGCTTACCGTCGCCATCGGTGTCATAGCTATTTATCATTTCCTCAGCCTCGTCTTCGGCCAATTGCACATGGAGATTCATCATAACCATTCGCAACTCATTGACTCCTATATAGCCGGTGTTTTCCTTGTCAAATACGCGAAATGCTTCGCGCAAATCATCGTCATCCGGAGCGCTCATTCGCATAGTCATCGAATACACAAATTGGTCAAAATCAACTGATCCATTGCCTTCAACATCAACCTCGTTGATCATCGCTTGCATATCCTTTTCTGTCGGGTGCCTGCCAAGTGACGTCGAAAAAATCTCTAAATCCTTAATACCTATGCAGCCATCCTGTTCACTGCTTAATAATTTAAAACAGCGCCTAAATTCCTCAATTTCCTCTGCAGAGAGTTCCATATTACACGTATTAAAATTTTTTAATGATTCAAATTTTATATGTCCGGTGTGAGTGTGAAATATAAAATGTGTCTGTGAACAAATTGACTGCTTATATGTAGTATCAACTCATATCTATATGTATCAACTCATAAGCTTATCGCCTGCTGCGATTTCGTTTTTATTTCAGCACCGATCATTCTGACTACTTTATGGGATAATTGCGACATAGGTACTGTCGGTAACAAAATAAGGGGCTACGCTCGAATGATCCTACTGATCAATAATCTATATATACTTAAAGAGGCTGGAGGTGCCTACCGCTAATATATGTATCAACAAGAACGAACAAGTTAAAAAAATAACTAATCAATAAAATCAGTTCAACGCTTCTCGGTCTCTGCTTAAATGGAAACTATTTAACAGTAACTAATTATGAAGGCTTGTCGGAATTATTGGATGAGGCATTGTGGATGATAAATATTTTCAAGGAGTTCCTACAATACCACTCGTGCATATGTATATTTATATATGCATGGTGCTCTCCCTCCCCAACCCTCTTTGCTTCTTTTGCTGTGATATATTAGTTACAGTTGGTGCCCTGCGCATTTTTTTCGTTTGTGATTTTCATACGCGAAATGCAAGCCCAACTGAAAGCGTCCTTTAGAGCAACAACAACAACAACAATAAAAACAAATTTTGGCCGCATGCTGCGGTCAACCGCACACATCAACAGCCAGGCCCATGGGCCAGACCAGCTGCCAGTTGCCAACAACAATAACTTCAACAACAATAAAAAATGGTTGACCAGGCGAAAGTTATTTACTGCAAATCGGTCGACTGAAACGTAGATCGCTGCCTGAAACTGGCAACTGGCAACATTTGGCTTGGCTTTAAACATGTTCCGTGCGGGCAAATGTTCAATTAAAATTGCAAAATAATTTAAAAACTAACGACAGCAGCAGCAGCAGCCAGCCAGGTAAACTTTTCGGCGCTCACTTCAAGCGAATTGGGGGCACGGCGCAAATTACAAGGTACCTCTTAATCTGTGCATTTGGAAAATTTTATTTTTATTTCGATTTTCAAACTTAACTTTTGCTCCGAGTGCAATCCACACAAACTTTTTGCCAAAGCTTTAAATTATAATAGAAACAATAGATTAAAAAAGAACAGAAAGAGCTAACTGCACAAAATTTGATGCTCAAAAGTAAATTGGCAATGCAAAAAGTTGTGTATTACAATATATTTTCTGAGATTGAAATATTTTGTATGAAAGTCTCGATTGCTATAACAGAATTTAATTTCCATAGCAAATAATTAAATGAGCAATGAATACCACGAGATATATAGATGAGCCACCCATAATTGCTTTTAGTCATATTAAATTATCAGAGCATTAGCCATTTTTTTATAATTTACTAAGATTTACTAAGGTTCGTAAACCTGACTTTTCGCAGCCTTTTTATATATCAACAAGAACCCTGAACCCATTTAAAATGCGTAAAAGGGGTAGAATGTGTTCAAAGAAGGAAGGCGGAAAAGCAGAAGGAAGCATCACCGACCCCATAGAACCGATCCCCAAGGATCTCGTACATACTCGTATTATGCTAATAGCAATGAAATATAATATACTCAATTAAATTTGTGTTAGTTAAGTGAACGACAATTCAAGTAAAGACATTTTTGTTGGCCACATTTCATACGGTCAGTTAACCGGACAATTGTGTGTATTTTTGCAATATTCTTCGTATGGTTATCTGGCCCGTATTAACTGCTTAAATTGCCGGAATGATTCAATGGGCCAGCTCTTCATCTACTTGAGAGTAGATTACCCGCTGGTTATGTTGACGACAGTTGTTCACTTACAGCTCGTTAGATACGAGTTAATCGAATGTCTTTCATATTGAATTGCTGCCCGGGTCAACTGCAATTCCGCAATCGTTCCGCAATTCAACCCCGCAGAGGTAGCTACATTGTGTTAAATGTTCCGGCTTATGCTCGTATATTTGTATGCAATTATAAAGCATACCTTGCGCCATATCTTTCGCTTATCTCTGCCACTCAAGTCAAGACTCACAACGCGCAACGCACCATTCGCCGCGTGGCCGTGTGCTACGTGCTGGGGCAGCTGCCAGTGGCGACGCTGCAAAGTAGGCAACGATAAATTATTTCATTGCTGACCACAAACAGTTGAGTGTGGTTGTTGTTGTTCTTGCTATTGCCGCTCACGTCTGCCATTAAACTCGGCGTAAAAATAGCCTGAAATATGTAATTTTCCGGTTCAATTACAACGCCACATCAGCAGTGAACTCAGCGAGTAGCCATGGCGCAGGGACCGATCCAGGGTATCAGCAGTGTCAGTGGAATCCCCATCCGCATCCGCAATCCACATCCGCAACATCGCGGCCAGCAGGCTAAGATCCATGTACGCAGATAGCGACTGACCAGCGCACTTGTGCGATATGCGACTCGGATAGCGCTCAGTAATTTGTTGTAAATCTCTGGAGCACGCAAGCGGAGAGAGCTGAGGGACAGGTACCAGGAGCTGAAGCAAAGATTGGGCACTTTGAATGCGATTAGATACACTCGCTGGCTGCGTGCCGCATTTTAATAAGACGGAATTTAAGTGAAACGCTTAAATCTAAATTATATTTGCTGGACTTTTATCGGAGATTGAACCAGTGTTTTAGTAAATAAAAGAATCAATTAGTGAAATATTTATAATACAAGCCTTCTTGAATTATTTGAAGATGAAAGCTAGATTTAAGTAAAGGATATTTGGAAATATTCGGAAGAGCAAATACCAAAATTCACTTAAATTTGGAAATATTGATTAACTATTTGTATCTTACCTTAAAGCTCTTATAGCACAATCTGCTTGAATATTAATCTGACTTAAATTCAAACTCTGTAGAATTTCTGGATAATGCAAAATGGAAAAGAAGTTAATCTTGGTTCTGTTTATACAGCAATAGTTAAGCAAAGATTGTTCTATTTGCTAAGACCAATTTACAGTTGATTTACATAAAGCTTAAGATCAACAACTGCCTAGGGGTGCAGCTCGTGAAAAAGATTGCAAATGTAGTAAGGCAAAGGAGAAATAATAAAATCAATGCAGTTACTGGGCAAAAGAGGGTGCGATGTGCTAAGCAAGTTGACTGCAAAAATGCCAGCAAGTAAATTTTAAACATCGCACGTGGCCATAAAAACCATGCCAAGCCAAAGAGCAGGAACGAATGTGCCAGAAGCAGTCAGGACTGCTCAGCAGCCAGACTAGCTGGCATGTGGGCTGAAGGGGGTGCAAGAGGAAAGCCACGTGTGGGGGAAACTGCATTTTAGCGCCATATTTTATACACACTTAAAGTCACACACAGAGAAAACTGCCAGGGCAAAGGAAATGGACAAAGTGTGCCAGGAGTAAGGGTGATAGCGCTGCAGTCGCCGCAGTGTCAAAGCAAGAAAGCCAAACGGCAATGCGGGCAAAGATAAACGCGGTGTACGGGGAGGAGCATCAAAAACAAAAGGTCAGAAAGTTTTTCATTCTGGCTAAATAAAAAAATGAAAATAAAAGTGTGTGAAATACTGAGGGAAAATGGGTTAAGCAAATGCCAATAGCACAACAAAAGAGGCCGCAAATAAAATGCAGACCAAAGCCACGCCCACTTCCATTGGCTATCAGCCAGCCTGCCCCACCTACCCCTCAGTTTACACTGCTCAAAATGCGTATATTGAATATTAATAAATGTTCCACTGAATTAATTAATGACACGCCGCATTTTCAATTAGCAACAAGACGCAGGCAACAAGCAGCCGACAGCGAACAAGACATTACACAAGCCCACCAAATACGTTGGTCAAGAGGTGGGCCACGCAGGCGTGGCTAATTAAAATTTAATTAATTAACAATGCGACGGCAAATGGTCCAAAGCTGCCAATGGAAAAATGTCGAAACTCGACGAATAGCCGCCATCTGGCCAACGATTTTGAGGCTGTCGGAAATGAAGATGGATTTTCGTTTCAATGGGCCATGTGCCACGTGCCGCGTGCCGCATGCTCCATTGGCCATGCAACACATGGCCAACGACTGTATTGATTCCATCGTTGCTTTTCTTATAATTGTTGCTCCAATATGCCACATAATTTTCGACTCATTAATCATTAAAGCATTTTCATTAGCCAGGACCAAGTTGCTTGGCTCTAATTACTAAACACGGTCTATGCCAAAGATAAAAGACAAACAATAAATATTTTATACAATTTAGGCCTTAACAAAGCATCATAAATTCCCCTTTTGACCACTTTCAAATATCCCTAACATGAAACAAACCAACTAAATAGGACACGGTCCCAGCGCAAAAATCACTGAATAGTAAATAATAGAAAATCAATTAAATTAAGCAATAAAATCGAGCGGCTATATTTGGTTAAACGACATTTAAATACTCTTGCAGGCACATGGCTTGCTGGTAAGTGAGGAGAGTTGCGAGGCACAGCAATAAGATATCTTATCTTGTATACAAAACCTCACTTTTGATATACTTTCTAATATGCTTAAGTTGAAGAATAGCGAATAAAAACATCGTTCATATAAAGATCTGATCCGGATGGTTTCGAGCAATCTAGTGCCAGCACGAAAAAAGCGTTAAGCAACGTTTCATGATAATAGCTTTCAGAGCGAGAGACTCACTTGCATAGTTTGCTCACGGACAGGGAACCGGGCATGGCTACATCGATTTTCGTTTCGTCCGATGCACATAGATTGAAAGAATTATAATACCTTATACAAGGGAGTACAATATCAATGTGTTAAGAAAAGCTGGTATTTTTGAAAGCACGGAGATATTCTAAAAAAAAATCATAAATATACTAACATCATTTCAGAGTTGATTTTCTGTTAAAAACGTTGACGTAAGGTTAATAATCCTAGTAGCTAGGCAGGCGATTGCGATAAAAGCTGCTGCAAATTTGCAAAGGGTATGCAAGCCAATGAATATCAAAAGTAATTTTGAGTAATCAAAATTAAATCTATCCAAGTCCATATTAATTCAAAGTAAATTGAGAGATAATATTTTCAACAAATAATAATTTAAAAGTTTATAAA